AACAAATTATCCAAACAGTTATCTCCGTGTCGATCTGAACCCTGCGATCCCATTTTCCGAGCAAGGGCAATGCCGGAGCCTACCATTTGGGTCTGGCCTGGGTCTCTGAAACAGTGACTGTCGATCACGGGCCCATGGCACCTAACAGGGGGTCATGGGTCGGCAAGTGGCCCCGATTCCATTACGGGCTGTGTTTGAGGAGGCCCGAAGAAGAGCCAAAGGACCCCTCGGAACCAAAGATCATGGGCCCGATTGGAAGGCTGAAGAGGCGGAATGGTCTGAGGGACTGGTTGCAGGTCACCATAAGGACGCCTCCTACCCGTTGGACCGTGACCTCAAAGGTCAGTTAGAGGGCTTCTTGCATCGATTGGGGCTCCGTTGGACAGTGAGGGCCTCTATTTCGGCCAGAGACCATCAACACCGAACAGTCAGCTCCGTGTCGTTTTTAGCCCAAGCACACCTTGTCGTTCTTAGCCCAAGCACACGCAGGGCCGGGCCCGCGATTTGCATCGGTCGGGGTCTCTGTAATGGAGTACCTGTCAACGGTCCACAGTTCCGAACAGTGTGTCTTGTGTCGGCAAGGAACCCCGAGTCGGCCAGGGGAGCATTTCCTGAGCAGGGAGAGAGGCGGGAGCCCGAATGCCAGAGGGTCTTTGCGTTGGTTGAGGCAACAACATAACATTTCTTCGGCTTCCACTTAGTCTTATTTTGGGTCACCTCAGTAAGCCCAGATGTTTTTGAATTTTCACTCCAATCTATGGTAGTTCAGTTCTCAAGTAAACAGTGTGGCTGGAGGAGTCCACATTGGAAGGGAATGGGCTTGACTACCCTTCTGGCGCAAGTGCTGGGTATTTGACAAATACGTTGGTGGAAACAGGTATACACTGTTCGGGTCACTAACTGCCAGACATCACGTGCCGTGCGTTTTTCACTGCTGAGGCCTTCGTCATCCTCAGGCCTGAATTTATCACCGGCATGCGAGCAAGCCCGTCCGACTTTCGGCGATTGAAGTCGCATACCCAGCACCGAATTAAGCGTCTAAACTGGCGTCGAGGATCGCCGATCGTCGCTCGCTGCGCCAGGTGTGCCAGCTCCTGTGGAATGCTCGGAACGTGCAGTACGTGCAGACTGAGGGCATCTTCAGCCAACAGCAACTCAGTCACTCAACTTAGCAACTAAGCTAGCATTGACTGGCCAAAGGTCGATGGAGCGATGAGATGTCGCCAATACTGTCGCACTACGCCTCATCAGCCGGAAGGCTAGTATGTATTCATATGCATTTTTTTATTATATTTTTCATGCATTCATATGTACAGCCACTCCATCAGTGTGTATTCGTCCAGCATGTCATGGACGTCCCCCGCCTCCAAGTCGCACGCTGGCAAGGTGGATGCGTGGTTTCCAAGTTCCAGCTGGATGCTGGTATAATCCACGCGGCACTCCGAATGTTGAGGCTGGCGGTGAAGACCTTGGACCTGCTGAGCGCATCTGATCCTGCTTCTGCTTTGACGAGATGACATTGCATGGCCTACAGTCGTATAACTAAAGCCCTTGTCAAACAAAGAATACCGCTGTTAATTGATCCGCTGCATTTCATATGAACAACCGAAAGCTCATGGACGTGGATTGTGGTGCACTCTTAGACCCCATTTGGTTCAAGGCTCGAGGAAGTGTCGCGCGCAGCGTATCCATCCGCCGCGGGCCACATGCTGTGCGAGTACGGTTTTTGTTTCGCACGTTTGGCTCGGGCGCTCGGTCCGGCCTAGTGCGCCGGGACGATCAATAAAGAGCGGCCCGCTAAAACATCAAACTCGTCAGAGGCAAAAACAGTATAAAAACAGTCACAGAAGCAATGGTGGGGGAGTCACAATCATGGAGACAGTCGACTGTCGGAGGGACAGTGAGACAGACAACAGAGATGGGGGTCTTATCGTTCTGGCGCGTCGACGGCTGGGCGCACGGCACCGATGCCTCTACCAAATGTAAGCCCGGCGGGGTAATCGCTCACCCTTTGGCGGCTCCCAGAGATCCCCGGCCCCTTTACGTTTTATAACCTGATGTGACATTAATGCATATATATATATATATATATATATATATATATATATATATATATATATAGCTACGCTATATATACGCTCTGTAGGAATGTCGAGGTTACGTACTCGCACATTACTTATGATTCTTTATGTGTCGTGCACTCCTTTCGTGTTTGTATGGTATCCTAGTAAATAGCATATCTAACATATAAATATGTCACGAGCCTGTGGTGTTAAATCCCGTGCTGACCCCTGCCCTGTATTGCTCTACGCGTTTCAATTAACAGTCTGCAGGGAAATAGCCGATCGAGGGATACTGTGCAGCCTGAATGTTGTTACAAGAGGCAGGACGCGCCATAGCTAGGCCCATGTTCGACGCCAGTGCCTCTTCCCTGCATAGTTCATGTATTTCGTAAAGCTCGGGGGTGGCCGCCAATTTTTCGCGAGTTCAATCGAATGTTCTTTTGACATGACGGGTTAAATGGGTCGCGGAAGCTTGCCTCAATGACTCATCGCAGGTAACGACGGAGGGCTCCTCGCAAGTAGCGAGGAGTGTCGTGAGCTCATGAGAAATTCAGCGGGCCGACAGGTGATATCGGCACAGCTCACCAGCGACAGAGGTTGGGAGCTGCGGGTTAATGTTGCGGTGAACCTTAGACCAGGTGGGGACGGGGGAGAAATTTCGATTTCCCAAAGAGCTTTTTCTTTCGTGGGGTTGACTATTAGTGAGCAAAGTAACTATCTTTTGACTGTTGTGGGCCTGCAGTGGCCGCCATTGGTGCTAGGATGATAGGCAGGCGATCCCATATAGTCTGAGCAGCTGATCGTGTCGCGAATCCCCAATGACAGGATCATTTCGATACATAGCCGGGGGTGAAGTGCCACCGATAATCTTCACACACGCGGCTAGCTAAAACAGCTAAATTAACACATTTGATAAACGTGGTTCTTCCGATGAAGCGGTCCTAGTACCTCGGTGACTGGTATTTGTAAATGTATTAAAAACATTATGCACTACACAACGCCACGTGCGAGTGCGTAACTTCAAAAACCATTCAGGAACTCCATCTAAATTATTGATTCAGCCACGGCGCTTGTTGCTTTTATGCAAGCTGGGGTTTGGGAGTATCGTGATTGCAGTTTTGTGTCGGTGAGAAATCCGTCGGGTCATCGCGACAATATTGCTTAAAAATGAGGAGCACCGACTAGTAGTTACGCATGGGCGATACCGCCCAATACTTAAGCAATGGAGATCATCAAGAATCTGAACCTAATACACTCTCGAAAAATCTGAGTAGCATGGTGGTGGCTAGTATGGAATAGGCCGCCTAAAAGTTCAGCAAAAGAGATTGTGGTATGATTGTGCGGGGTGTGCACCCTCGCCTTCGCTGTCTTCCGAGTTCTACATCTGACTGGGTGCCGGGGGGCGTCACGTGACCGCGGGTCTCCCGATTCGCCGGGGGTCAAGGGTCGGCCGCTGAGGCGGCGCCAGGGACCCGACGCTCACAGGTGCCAGTTGGTTGTCGGACCAGTCCTGGCGAAAACACGCTACGTTCTCTTACAGAAATCATGAACAATCTCAAGTGAAAATGGGAGCTCAAGGGAGCTCAAGGGAGCTCGTAGTGTGGGCTGACGCGAGCGCCATCGCGAACGTGGTAGTCCTGGAGGATACGGAGGGCTGCGTTCTCGAGGGTGCCGCGTGGCTCCGGTCAGAGTCCAAGGCGGCGGACCACATCAACATGGCCGAGTTGGACGCGGCGATGGGTGGCGTGAACATGGCCCTGGAATGGGGCGTTAAGCGCTTCAGCTTACGCACGGACTCGGCCACCAGTGTTCAAGTGTTGAGTAGCACCTTGAGCGGACGCTCTTGTCTTAGAACAAAGGCGCGGGGGGACATGCTGATCCGACGCAGGATTGGATTCATGTGGCAGTTGGTCGACGAGCTCCAGCTCTTGGTGACCGTCCAGCTGGTGCGGTCACAAGACAATCCTGCCGACGCGCTCACCCGAGTTCCCTAGACCTGGCTGCGAGCAGAGCCTCGAGATGCGACTTCAGCCGCAGCAGCCACCGCGCCAAAATGTTTCGCGGCACCCCCGCGAGATGCGACTTTGGTCTCCACGACTGTCGGGCCGGAAGAAGTCGCGGCGCCCCCGGCGGACCAAGAAGCCGCTCACGAGCCCGCGGCAAGCGACGTTCGTGCCCGGATTAAAAGCATACACGGACGGACGGGGCACCAGGGGATCCGCCGGTTCCTGTGGTACGCCAGACGGGACCTCGGCGGAGACGTCGCACTGGCCGACGTGCGAGCCGTCGTCAGCCAGTGCGATGTGTGCCGTTCGACTGACCCGGTGCCGAGTCGCTGGCGGTCCGGCTCACTCGGCGTCCTGACACCATGGCCCCGACTCGCGATCAACGTGACCCATTGCCAAGGCCGCCTCTACCTCACGATTGTAGACTTCGGTCCGTCCCGGTACAGCATATGGAGCGTACCGCGACGGTCTGACGCGGCAGAAGTGACGGATCATCTGCATCGAGTGTTCCTAGAACGCGGCGCGCCGGCTGAGCTTCTGCTGAACAATGCCACTGAATTCAGGAGCCGGCGAATGACTGCATTCGCCGCGAAGTGGCGGGTTCGGCTGAGGTTTTACGCGACGCACGAGGCCGGCGGCAACGGAATCGTGGAGCGCCACCACCGAACTATAAAGGTGATGGTGGCCCGCCAACGGTGCTCCGTCAGTGAAGCGGTGCATCGGTACAGTGCGACTCCGCGGACTCGCTCAGCGCGCCGATGGCGCAGGTATTCCGCGCAGCCGGGACCGACCTGTCGACCGGCCAGCGCGCAGCCGAGCCCGCATCGCCGCTGATGCAAGAACCAGTTTCATCTTCGTTTTGCGTCAGCGATGCGGTGTGGATGCGGCGCCAGGGGCCCGCCACGCGGTGTACCGATGTGTCGCGCCAGGGCGTAGTTACGCGGGTCGTGTCGGACTAGGTGGTTGAGGTCGGCGGCGCGCCCTGGCACGTGCGGTGCCTGTGGCGCCGGAACCTGTAGAGAGGCTCAGACGGGAGCCGAATGCCCAACGCGAGTGAGGAGTTTGGGGACGACACAGGTACGCTGCCGATGACGAACATTGTGTCGAATTATGAGTCCACGAGGGGCGGTTCAGATCCGCCTGCCGTGCCATCAAGCCCGTTGGTCGCGGACCCTGCTGAGAGCCCATCGCTATCACGGAACGATCGCGATGAAGTGTCGAGCACCAGTACGAATTCTCAGTCATTGTGCTTTGGTGAGCATGCAGTGGACGAGTGCGGTGTGCGTAAAGATGACTCGTTCGTGTCCAGCAACGGTGCGGCGCTACCACCGCCTTGGCCGGATCCTCCACAGGGAGAGAGACAGAGTCGCGGGAACCGCGGACGAGCGGTCGCGCTCGCCGGCAACCAGTCGAGTTGTACGGATTCAGTGTCCCCACCGATCCCATTGACGATTATGAGTGTTTGTAGATTGGTAGAGTGGCATGATTGCTTACAGCAAGGTAGAGGTGTGGCGTGATTATGCGGAGTGTGCACCCTCGCCCTCGCTGTCTTCCGAGCTCTACATCTGACTGGGTGCCGGGGGCGTCACGTGACCGTGGGTCTCCCGATCCGCCGGGTGTCAAGGCTCGGCCGCTGAGGCGGCGGCAGGGACCCGACGCTCACAGGTGCCAGTTGGTTGCCGGACCAGTCCTGGTGAAAACACGCTACGTTCTCTTACGGAAATCATGAACAATCTCAAGTGAAAATCTACCTAACACGTCTTTTCCGATATTTGTTGGGCGAAGGTGGAACATACCAGCGGTGCCCTTTACATCATGATACTAGCAGTCGTCAGGGCCCAGCTCAGGTGGATGTCTAGGCTTCGGTGAGCATTGACTGGGCCGTTTCCGTTAATGTGTTGGAATTGCTTCCAGTACCGTTCCCCTGTCCGTAAAGCCTTTTCCTTACCCTTAAGCTGTGGGTGGTTTGACGCGCAGCGGGTTTCTGGTAAAAGCGTTGGTACACGACGTAGGTATTTTTATAGCAGCAAGGACTGTTGAAAAGGATTGGTAGCGCATCCACAAAAGGGGCAAAACGTGGCACTCACAAACGCCCATACTATAAAACCAACACCTGAACAGTGGCGTTCGTACAGGGAGAGCGAGCAGTCACTACCTAACACTGTCCCTCGGGAGCTACATTGCATCCCGGCTAGTCCGCGATGAAATGCGTAAGTCCTTACATGTTTGAAACACGCGGTTGTCACTTCAGCAGCACGGGCAGCGAGTCGCGTCTTCAGTCCCGGCGAGAGAGTACGAGATAATTCCTAAGAACTAGGCCTTTTACACCACCGGAAAAGTGGTCGGAAGTGGGTAAGGTAAGCCGGCCCGATGCTGACAAATCGCTAGGTCCCTGCATTTCCTCCGAAGTCGACGTGGAGCCGATGATCGTTCGCCAGGCGTGCCACAACGCGGTTGCCACGCCGGGCTACCGGTTTCGCGGCGACGCCTGGCTCCTGCACCCGCGGTCGCGTGGCCTCGGACGCTGTTCCATTCAGGAGCGTGGAGATACGCCCGCACTTTAGGCCGTCCTAGGTCACATCGATGTGACTATTTTATCCTGTCGGTTATCTGCCAGACTTAGCTCCAATCTAAATGCCAACTGAGGCCCAGAATTTCCATGGATTTACTCGGGGTACGTTCCCCGGAGGGCGGCAATTGTGCCGCTAAAAAACAACTGGTAACTCGGGATGCAGTTCTGAGTACATCTGGTACTTCCGAAGTCATGATGCGACGGATCGTCCTCGTATGTCTTGCTTCCTGGGTCCTTTGGACAGGGGCGGATCCAGGATTTTGTCAAGGGGGCACGCAACATTGTGGGGCCCCCTAGAGTTTGGCGCCCCCCTCCGAAAAACATCCTTGCCTTTCGGTCATTACGTTTTAAGGAAGTCGTATGATACATATATATATATATATATATATATATATATATATATATATATACATATATGTACACATACTAGATCTAGATATATGTATATATGTGTACATATACATGCACATATATATATATAATACAGATATATGCATGTATGTATAAATGGGTACATCTATATTTGTATATGCATATTTACTTATTCTGTATTTGTATACGTACATTTATTTATTCATTTATCTAATAAATACGGAAACCCATCTTACTGCGCACAGTCTTATAAAGCTAGGCGTGCTACGCATACATACACATAAAGCTCACTCATTTTCTACAGGTCATTTTGAATGCTGTGATTTTGAGGCTGAGTGTTTCGGAACAACAAGCAAAATAAACTTGAGTTGCCTGCTAACAACCATCAAAACCAAGCATGGGCTTAATTCCTAGTTTATGTATTTACGGCCAGCCGGCTGTGCGATGTAGTCAGCTGATGGCTGATGACTAATGCATAGTTTTTCCTTTGCTATAAAAGAGTTCAACATATGCTAACATTCAAAATATGTTAAGAGCATGATGCACGAGAACATGATGCACTAGTATAGTAAGTGTAACACACCCAATAACCAATGGATATGACACATATGAAGCCGGAGACACGCAAGGTTACGTTCGGCAAATGCGCGTAAAATTTATCAGCGCATATTCGACTGCTGTTCTAAGGCGAAAGCACCAAGGCGAGAAGGGACGGAACATGAACAATTATGGGTGCCACAGGAGGGCAAAAAAGTGGCTCTCGTCAACAAGTATCGGGTCCTTAGAGCAAGCAAAAAGAACCCAAGACCAACATGGTAGGCCCCTAAACGACCGGTAGTGCCTCGACAGGCTGACATATATGGCCCCGGCCATAGCACAGGATCCGCTGAGCAAATGGGAATATCCCAGACCATGAATTAATACCCCCGTGCGACCAAGAGTGCACGGGCTGGTTAACAACATTAGCCACGATTGGAGTGAAGAGTCCTCCGCAAATGAGACCAAAGCGAGAGAGACCTCCATCAAAGTAGCGGGCCCCTGAGCATCGAGTGTCTCCGTACGTCAACTTATAAGAGCCTTAGCCACAGCACAAGGTCCTCCAAGTAAGTAGAAAGAATCCGGGACTTTTATGAAGGGCCCCTGAGCAACTGAGTGTGCCCTGGCATATGGGGCCCTCAAAAAAGTGTATGGAGCCTTTCGGGCGAATGGGAAGAATTCGCGAAGGAAAACCTGATCAGTGAACGGTGCTCAGACATGGAGGCGGATAGTGCCCCAACAGCCCATGGGGCTCTACAAGAAAATGCAGAGATCAAGGGCAACGTGGAAAGCTCCTCAGCGATCAGATTGACCCGGCAAGTGGACATATAGGGCCAGGCAACCAAAAGCGCAATGTCTCTAGGCAGCGTAATGAGCCCCAAATTCCCCCCCCCCCCCACACAACACTGTTCAACCAGCGAAGAATACACTTTCTTTGCTTGTGAACTCTTTAGTTTTGCTAACAATAATTCTTGGTCGTCTGTAGGCTCAAAGGCATCCAATTTTGTTGTTTTTGTTGTAAGAAAACTGCGTCCGTCCGTCCGGTTATGGGCCCCTTCGGAGCCTTTGAGCCATCTCGGCATGGTCCATGGGGAATGGTCCCGTGCCTCCCCCCCCCCCCCCCCCCCCAGACCCTATGCATCCGCCGCCGGCCCGAGCAACTGAATAGATGGGGCTCCTCGCCAAAAACATAGCGCCATCCATTCATATAAGAAATACTCACGACGCAATGTGTAGGGCTCTGAACGGTCGAGTGCGTCCGAGCAGGTTGACATATAGGGCCCCCGTCAAAAACGTAGGGCCTCCATTCAAATAGAAAGTACCCAAGACCGAATGTAGAGGGCTCCCGAATGATCGAGCGCGCCCGAACAGGTTAACAGATAAGGTTCCCAAAGAGTGTGGGGCCCTCCATCCAAATAGGAAGTATTCAGTGTCTAATGCAAAGGACAACCGAATGATTCAGTGCGTCAGAGCAGGTTAACATATAGCGTCCCCGTCAAGAGCGCAGTGCCCTCCATTCAGAGAGGAAGTACCCGAGACCCAGTGTAGAGGGCCCCCCAGTGATCGAGTGAGCCCGAGCAGGTTGAGAAATAGGGCTACCAACAAGAGTGTAGAGCTCTCCATTCGAATGGGAAGCACCGAAGACCCTATGCAGATGGCCCCAGAATGATGGAATGTCCCCGAGCAGGTTTTCGGAAATGGCCTGGCAAGAGCGTAGGGCTCTCCATTGAAATCAGAAGTACCCAAAACCCGGTGCAGAGGGCCCCCGAAAAATGGTTTATACCCGAGCAGATTATCAGGTGGCCCAAACAGGAGTGTAGGGCCCCAAATTAAAATGCCCAAACCCAAAATATAGGGCCCCCGAACAATCCAGTGTGGCCGAAGCGGTGAACAGATAGGGTCCCGACAAGTGCGTAAGGCCCTCCATTGAGATGGGAAGTAACCAAGACACAATGTGGAGGGCCCCGGGATATTCGAGTGGGCCCGAGCAGGTTAACTGTTGGGGCCCCGGCAAGAGCGTGGGGCCTTGCGTTCAAATATGAAATACTCACGACACGATGTGGAGGGCCCCAAATAATCAAGTGCCCCAGAGCAGGTTGACAGATAGGGCCCCGAAAAGAGCGGAGGGCCATCCATCCAAAAAGGACGTATCCAAAACCAGATGTAGAGGTCCCTCGAAATCGAGTGAGCCCGAGGATCTTATAAGAAGGGGCCTGGACAGGAACGTAAGGCCCTCCATTCAAACAAGAGGCACCCAAAACACGGTGCGGAGAGCCCCCGAAAGATGGAGTGTACCCGAACGGGCTATCAGATGACCCCGACAGGAACAAAGGGCCCTAAATTCAAACACCAATAACCAATGTGCAGCCCCCCCCCCCCCCACCCCCCACCCCGAGTAATCCAGTGTCACCGATGAGGCGAACAGAAGGGGGCCCCCGACAAGAGCGCAGGGCCCCATTCAAATAGCAAGTGCCCAATGCAAGATATAGAGGACCCCCGAACAATCAAATGTGTCCGAGCAGGTTATGAGATAGGCCCATAGAACAGCGTAGGGCCCCCTATTCAGAAAAAAAGTACCCAAGACCCAGTGTGGAGG